GGGTCTGAATTCAGCCCCCCATGTCTTTATGAATAGGAGTTAGAGACAACCAGTGTCTCTGGAATAAGATTACTGTGAAAGCTTTGTGTCTCCTCAGTGATTCACTGGCAGAAAATACATCCCCAGGTGCTGAAGGCTTTGAGACAGAACTGAGAGCACAGGACTGCTGGCAGAGGAAGAGACAGTAGGACAGTCCAGGCACCACAGAGCAACCGTCTGTGATTTCCTGCAGCAGCAAAGAGATTCAGATAAAGTTACTTTAAACCCACCCACCTTGCAGCATATTTGCCCATATTGATTCAAATGGCAGAATTGCAGCCAGTTTGGCAAAGCTTAGAATAGGGTGAGGTCCTGTAGGGTAAACAGTGGAGCTGGGGTGTATTAACAACATTGTTAATGGAAAATGAGTCAATGCCCTTAACCTATTTCACTGTCTGTTTCCTGTGGAAACAGTTAGTAGTTATACTGCTTGGATAATTAGATTTCTCCTTTCACAAAGCCCACATGTCCTGGGTAGTTGCTATGTGATGTGATGGGAGGTTAGTAACTAGGTTCCAGGGACCAGCAATGAGTTTAGCTCAAATAAGAAGAACACCAAACCTCAAGCTGAACTTCTGAGCCTTTCACCTTTCACTAAATGCAGCACCAAGATCCAAGTGTGGGTGTGTTTTCAGTGATTACCTTGAGTCATCTTTTAATCAAGAAGCCAAAATGCATCCTGTGCTACTGTTCTTATGGCCCAGGGCGAAAGCCTTCACGTATTTGGACTCAGCAAGGCCCACTGGCCTTAGGAACGAGGAAGGCCAACTCAGCTTCCCAGCAATGCCATCCTCTGGTCATCGTTATCCTGTCCTACTGCTCCCAGAGTGAGGGATTCAGCAGAGGCAAACAAGGACGGATGGGGATAAAGAGAAACAAAGACTGTGAAACCATGATGACTGTTGGCTGCATCTTCGTTTTCCTTCCAGAGCTCTTTAAACTGGGCCCGTTTGCTCCTGGGACTATCTGATGATTATTAGATAGTTACGACTTTTCCTTTGGACTTCTTGGGGCTTTCCTAGGAAAAGATTCAGTATCTTTAAAATGCACTTTCCCAGACTATCCAGCCCCCGCTGACCAATGTATACAGAGAAATATGTTTGCTAATCTACACACCATGAGCAAGACCTTTAGCTTTGGCTGCTTGCAGGGAATTCATCTGTGTTCGGTAAACAAAGATGTGTCTCTTGGTATTCCTCACAGGGCCTGAAGCATTAATGGCATTTAGACGCCTGTCAGGTTGTCAGGCATTAGAAACAAGGATATTGCAGGACCCCAAGGGGATCTGGTCTGCTATAAATAGCTGTGTCTTATCAGAGAGCAGGGAGGAAAAAAGCCACCTTCCCAAATGCTGCGGTTGTGCCTCAGTGAGCTAGCGTGCGTCACACAGACACGGCTGAATGACCCAGACCTGTTGAGGGACAGGGTGTCTCATGGGACACAGAGGCTTTCCCTCTTACATCACTGATTCAAATCTGCCCTGGGGTGATAGTAAATGAAAATCATTACTATTTAGCAGTTGTTGGGTAGATTGAGTAAAATAAATTGGTGTTCTCTGTAGTAAACAGGTGTGCATGTCCCAGAAACAAGCCATGATAACTGATAGGCCTCTGGGTAGTTTCAGCAGAGAGGTCAAGGACTGAATGGGTATGGAGCAGGAAGGAGATTCCAGTACCAGTAATGATGATAAGAAGCAAGGAGAGATTGCTCTGTGGAAAGACCGAGGCTGTAGTTGATGATGTTCCCCCTTATTCCTCTCCTCTCAAGGGAGACAAAGTAATGAATAGTACAGAGAAGTTAAACTGGACACTCCTATTTTTACACAGGAACAAGAGGATGTTCAATAAAATTGAAAGTGTTAGAAATATTTTTAGGCAGGTATGATTGGCCTGTGGCACTCATTGCCACAAGATATCACTGAGGACAAGAGCTTTGTAGGAGTCATAAAAGGGTTAGAAATGTTTATCGATAATGACAACACCCACAGTTTCATTCAATAGGATTCTAAAGAATTTGTTAAGGGATACATAAAGCCTCATGTTTCAGGGCACAAATAAACCCGATAAATGATGGGGTCAGGAAGAAACTTCTATCAAGGGAAGGTTATACCATAATTGTTCACTGCGGAGTCCTTGTACCATTGTCTGCATCATCCACTACTGGCCATTTTCAAAGATGGATACTGGACCAGATGGATCTGATATGGCAACTCCTATATTCCCCTCATTTCTCTAGACACAGATCCTTCAGAACAAGATTGAGTACATTTATCAAGGCAACATAAGGGAAGTTTTGCAGTGCTGTGCTGCACCTGGTCTGTGGGGAGAGGATTTCAATTTATAGGGCCTGATCCAAAGCCCACTGACGTCAATGGGTTTTGGATTAGGCCCCTACTGCTCCTCAGCCTGGCATCTTTCACCAACACTGACATATGCTTTGAAAGGAAAAATAAAATCATTACAAATGTTCCCCTGAAGGGTATTAAAAGGCCAGCTTTTTATGTACCCGGCAACAGGCGCTGTCCACGTCCCATGAGTTATCACCTGCAGAAATGCAAATGGCATTTTCACACTGAGCACAGCGGTCAGGAGACATTTATCACTCACTGTAAAAATGCTTAATTGTGATTTTGTGCCCGTTTAACACAAAGAAGGGAAAACAGACTCTGGATGCAACTGTCTGTTAGGAGACAATCCTTTGTTTTCCAGGCATATCATTAGTAACATGAAATGTTATTTAATGATCATTAAAAAGGTGGAAATCCTGCTGGGACAGATGGCTATTTCGGTCTGGCTTTCTCTGAACTCTCAAAGCAAAAGGCTCCCTGGGAGGCAGTGGGATGTTCCTTGAATCGTATGTTCCCCCAGAACACTGAGTTCCTTGCTCTCTAATAAGATGGCTTCTAGTCTTCCAAAGTTTAGGTTTCACAGTATGTGAAATCCTTTGCCACAAAGGCTGCTTCCTTCATTTTGCTGCTCACTGACACAACACCCCTACTCTCCCAAGCACTGCTGAGTGAGTAAGCAGAGAACAGAGCATTATGGTAGCACCAGGAGGCTTCAGCCAGCTTTGGGGCCCCATTGTGGTAGGCACTGTGCAGACACAGGGCCGGCGCAACCCATTAGGCGACCTAGGCAGTCGCCTACAATTTGGGGGGCGGCGACCGCGGTGGTATTTTGGCGGCGGTCTCTGTGGGGGGCGGCATTTCGGGGCGGGACCTTCCGCCGCCTAGGGCGGCAGAAAAGCTGGCGGCGCTCCTGTGCAGACATATAGTAAGAGGGGGTCCTGAACTTTCATCCCAATCTTCTACTTGTATGTTGTATCTTTCTCTCCCATCTTTTACCTGTTGTGTCTATTCAGACTGTCAGATCATTGGAAGAGGCTTGGTCTTTTGTTATGAATATATATCAGTGATTCCGAAACTTTTTCTATTGGTGACCTCTTTCTCACAGCAAACCTCTGACTGTGACTCCCCCTTAGAAATTAAACACGGGGAAGTTAATTTAATTTAATATTAATTTAATTTAATGGGAGCTCAGGCCTGTCAGCCCCATGCATGGCCAGGCTCAGGCCTGTCAGCCCGGCAACCCCCGTGTAACCACCTCACGACCCCCTGAGGGGTCACGTCCCCCAGTTTGAGAATCCCTAGCACAGCCGTTCTCAAACTGTGGGTCGGGACATCACCCGGGTCCAAAGCCGAAGACCAAGGGCTTCAGCCCTGGGTGTCAGAGCTCAGGTTCTAGGCCCTCCGCCTGGGACTGAAGCCCTGGGGATTTGACCCTCCCCTGTCCGGGGCAGCGGGGCTCGGGTAGACTCAGGCTTCACTCCCCCCTCTTGGGGTTGTGTGGCAATTTTTGTTGGCAGAAAGGGGTCATGGTGGAATGAAGTTTGAGAACCCCTGCTTAGCACAATGAAATCACAATTTGGGCCTGGGCCTCTAGGCCAGGGGTGGGTAAACTTTTCGGCTGAGAGCCGCATCGGGTTTTGTAAATTGTATGGAGGGCTGGTTAGGGGAGGCCCCCACCTCCTATCTGCCCCTCCCAGGACTCCTGCCCCATCCAACCCCCCTGTTCCTTGACGGCCCCTCTGGGACCCCTGCCTCATCCAACCCCCCCATTCCCTGATGGCCCCTCTGGGACCCCTGCCCCATCCACACACCCCTGCACCCTATCCCCTGACCGCCCTTGGACTCCCGCCGCCCCATCCAACCCCTCCTCTCATTCCTGACAGCCCCCCGGGACCGCTGCCCCATCCAATCACCCCTTCTCCCTGTCCCCTGACTGCCCCCAGAACCCCTGCCCCTGACTGCCTCCTGCCACCTCATCCAACCCCCCCTCCTTCCTGACTGCCCTCCCAGAACCCTGCCCCCATTCAACCCCGATCCCCCCTGACCACCCCAACCCCTCTCCACACCCCCGTCTCCTGACCACCACCCTGAACTCCCCTGCCCTCTATCCAACCCCCCTCTGCTCCCTGCCCCCTTACCGCGCTGCCTGGAGCACTGGTGGCTGGCGGCGCTACAGCCACGCCGCCAGCCTGAAGCCGGTCCATGCCGCCACTGCCACCATGCAGCACAGAGCACTGGGTCAGGCTGGGCTCTGCAGCTGCGCTGCCCCAGGAGCTCACAGCCCTGTCGCCCAGAGCATTGCGCCGGCGGCGGAGCGAGCTGAGGCTGCGGGGGGAGGGGGGACATCAGGGGAGGGGCCGGGGGCTAGCCTCCCAGGCCAGGAGCTTGGGGGCCAGGCAGGACGGTCCCACAGGCCAGATGTGGCCCACGAGCCATAGTTTGCCCACCTCTGCTCTAGGCACTGCTATAGTACAAATAAACAATCATTACTATTTACTTAGCAAAGACTCCTTTAGAAGTGCTAATAGCACACAGTTTAACCTGCATTTCCTCTTTAGGAAAATAAAAGCACTTTGAATCTCTTCTCCCCAGAGAAATATAACAGGACTACAGATTACGGTTTGGTTCTGATTTTATTGTTATAAAACACCTTTTACTTTTATTTTCACATGCCATTGTCTTTGCTTTGTACAGGTAGAGCGGTGGGCGAGCTGACTTTCTGAGTGTAAAATGTGTTAACAGAAATCCAGTTATATCCAAACCACCAAAAGGAAAATGTTCCCAATCCAAAAGAGCCCATTTTCCTACTGCACTTCTCAGAGGGGCTCTGGGGCCTCATTATCGCTTCTGAATTTCCAAATACAGAACTGTAATGGTTATGTCACAGACAACTCACTTCAGTAACATTTGTTTGTATGACAGCTTGGTGTGTTACAGATCAGACAATGACGTCTCAAGTGGCACAGCGTGTGAAATTCTCTGCTAATACTATTTATGTTATATGGTTTCTAGACTTTCTTTACTGCTTGCAACTACGATTGATGTGATTTGCAGCCAGGAAAGCTTGTTCCAGTCAGACTTTATCAGCTCAGGGTAAGCAGTAGCGAGCGGTCAAAGTACAATTGCTAATGTATCAAACCTGCATCTCTGCAGAGATGGAGCTGCAGGAGGAGAACATCTGATTGGAAGTTTATCTATTTAGTGTGAAAGCTTTTAACGCGAGAGAGGATTGTGCATTTCTTGTGTCCAGGTGTCTCTGATAGAGATAATTTGTCCTTTTTGGTAAGTTCATCTCAGTTAAAATAGAAGTAATCTTTTTCTCCGCATTTTTTCTCTTTATCTCTCTTTCCTTCCTCTGTCTTTATTTGGGGGCGGGGGAGGTGGGGAGAGGGCATGCTAGGTTTCTTCTCCCTCTTTAGAATATCAGATTCAGAAAAACCTACTACATGGCCATCAGCGGTAGTCTGATACACCTCTTAGTAAGGATGAATGTATTAATAGGTGTTCTTCCTGAACAAGATTATAGAGAAGTCTTTTCACTAGACATGGTGTTTAGAGACAGAGGCTGGCAGGACATTAGTGAAGTTTCACAGTTGTTCTTAGGGTCAGAGTCCCCCTGACACCTCTTGCCCATTGCTAGGGTGCAGCTGGACTCTTTCCTTGCAGAGTCCATGGAGTTCCTGTAAGAGAGCAACTCAGGCACAGAAGAAGGTGCAGTCCCTTCAGACAGAGAGAAGTTAAAAAGGGAGACCATCCTCTGGTGGTATTTGCTCTTCATTTCTTTGGCTGACCTGTAGAGGTTCCCAACAAAGCAATAGCATATGGGGTTGAGGCTGGAGTTGGTGAGGCCTAGCCACTGAGCAAAAGGTCTGAGTTGCAGGACCCAGGGAGATGGAGTCACATCCTGCAAAGAGTTGGGGATGTTGAAGTCAATCCAGATGTCCATCATGTAGAAGGGCAGCCAGGAGATGGCAAACAGCAGGACCAGGGCCACCACCATCTGGGCCACTTTCTTGCGGATCTTCAGCCTGGAGGCTGGCAGGGATCGGTTCAGTGAGTTGCACTCCTTCAACTGGCTGGTGCAGCTCCACAGCCTTCGCACGGTCAGGAAGCAGATGACCATATTGAATAGCACAGGCAGGCAGTAGAGGGCACAGAAGAGCAGGAAGTTGTAGGCTTGCTTGAGCTTCTCTTGAGGCCATATTTCCCTGCAGATTGGGAACACCAATGGCAGTCCCTCCACTGCCCCAATCTCATCCCTTTTGTTCATGAATATAAGGGGCATGCAGATCCCAGAGGACAGGACCCACACCACCAGGATGGCGCTGAGGATCTTTCTCTGGGTGAAGAAGGACCTGGCATTCAGAGGGTTGTGAACACTGTAATACCTGTTCACACTAATGACCGTGAGGCTGAGCACACTGGCTGAGACAGACACGGCCTGGATGAATGGCACAGCCCTGCACAAGAAGTCCCCGTACACCCAGGCTTTGTATATCAAGTTCCCCATTGTAATGGGCATGCAGACACACACCACCATCAAGTCGCAGATGGCCAGGTTGATAAGGAGGCTCCTGGTGGCACTCAGACTGGGCATCCGACTGCTACGCTTCCTGGTGAGCACTTTGATGGACATGATGTTCCCAACAAATCCCACCACAAAAGAGAGCAGGTACAGGATGGTCAGGCTGATGGTGACAGGCTCCTTTGCAAACAGGAAGAGCATCTTTTCCAGCTCCTCCCAGTCCAGTTCCTGGCTCCCATTCCATACTCCAGGCAGGGACACGTTCTCCCCTTTCAAAAGCTCCTGCAGGCTGAGGTGGCTCTCTGGGAAAGGGAAGGAGGAATTCATTGCTGCTCCCTACAAGCCACACAGAAGCAGCCAGGGAAACACCACCCTTCAGGGGCAGACTGGTGGTCTCTTCCGTCTTTGAAGCTCCTTTGCCACCACTGGACCCTGAGCGGTTCTAGCATGTTTTGATGGACTCATACAAGCCTGGAAAAGAGAGTAAATGAAGAGGGGTCAGAATGTTCTACTGTAAATATTTTCCTTTCTTAATTGTTGCTCAATCATGTGTGGGGAATTGTACATAGTCAGAAATGGATTCCCCGTGAATTTATCAGCTCCATGCATAGGGCGATGCCTTTAAATCCTTAGGAACATAGGAATTGTCAGATTGGCTCAGACCCATAGTCCATTATCCTGCTCTGACAATGACTGGCACCAGATGCTACAGAAGAAGGTGTAAGAACCCTGCATGCGATGGAATAACCTGCCACTAAAGGTTTTAGTTCAGCCCCAGTATTCACAGGCTGGCTAATGTCCTCCCCTAGAAAGTGCTTGAGTAAATGCTGGGCAGACACCTCAGACTCTGACCCCTGATCAGCACTGTCATTGCTTGTAGGAGTCTGTGGTTATTTCCAGACATTACATCCCTGGAAAAACGGGTCCTCCCGCATCGCCCAGAGATAGGAGCGGGAAGAAGCCCAGAGCCAAGCCTGTTAGTATCAAACTATCCTGTCCCAGATAGAGCCCAGGCTTGTCAGCCCCGCTCGCTGGGGGGAGATGCCCCTGGAGGGTGGAAAGGCCTCCACGGGCGCTTGTGTCACAGCTGGACTTTCCCCTGGCACCTCAAGTTGTATTTCCGCATGGCCCCAGGTGTGGTGCTGAGCAGACAGCTCCCCTCGCCCGTGTCCAGCAGCCCTGCCCCCTTCTCTGGGCAAGCCCAGCTCCCCATTGCGCACAGCTCAGTCCCCGTCCCCCCGTCCCGGCGCAGTACCGGCACTCACCGTGCGCACAGAGCCGGCTGTGAGATGGGAGCGGGGCCGAACGGCGCTGCAGCTGATGGGTTGATGCCCGACGCTGTGCGCAGAGCTCAGCGCGCCTGGCCGCGGAGAGCAGCGAACGGGACCGGTGGGTCCAACTCGGGGAACTCCCGGGAGTGGCCCTGAGAGCTGCTCCCATTGACCCGCAGCCCTGGTACACCCCTGCCCGCTCCCCTCGGGCGCACACGCGATCAGACACACTTCACGGCGTGCACACGCGCTCCCCTCTGCGCCCAAACACACAGTGCCGTCTACACACAGACACCCCCCCACCTGCACTTACACACACACACTGCACTCTCTCTCACACACAGACACACACACCCTGCTCTTACACACACACCCTGCACTCTCTCACACAGTCATAGACACACACATCCTGCACTCCCACACACACACACACACCCTACACACACTACACTTTCACACTACACCCCCCATACACATATACACACACACCCTATACTCACACACATACACACACCCTGCACTCTCTCTCTTTCACACACACGCACACACCCTATACACACACACCCTATACACACACAGACACACACACCCTGCACTCACATACACACCTTCACCCCCTGCACTCTCTCACACACACAGACACACTCACACTTCCTTCTCTACACAAACACTCCCCCTACGCAGATCGCTCAACAGCCACACACCCTCAACACACACACACACACCCCTGGCTCTGTGCCTGGCTCCCTATTGCCCCCGTCCCTGCGCTGGCTGCCCGGCTGGGAGCTGCTGCTTCCTCCACCCCTGGGGCGTCTCAGGCGCCGAGCAGGAAAGTTTGGGGCTGTCCATGAAAAGCCCCAGCCGGTTGCAGCGGCCCGGCCCGCGGCTCAGCCGGCCGGCTGCCCCCGGGCTTTGCCCCGGCTGGTGGCTGAAGTGACCGGCTGCTGGCGGAGGGGCAGGCGCATCCCCTGGTGCTGAACGGACAGCTCCAAGAGCGGAGCGGCCCAGGACTCGCTCTGCGCCCCGTCTGCCCGGGCTCCGTGCCCGGCTGCGGTGGCCGAGTGAGCCCCGAACCCGGCGGGGCAGCCTGTAACCTGGGCGCCGCTCTGCCTGGCTTGGCTCAGGCGGGCAGCAGCTCGGGCATGTTCCTCGCCGAGCCCCTCGCTCCAGCCAATCCGCTCCTGCGGCTCGCCCCGCCTGGCGGGAGTGGGTTTGCTGATTGTCTCAGCCCGGCTGCCCCGAGCTCTCCCCTCCTGCTCCGCGGGCGGCTCGCCACTGCTGCCCCCTTGCTCCAGCGCCGGGTCTGCTTCGGGAGCTGAGTCCCTGGAAGTCCGGCCCGCCGGCCCTGGAGCCAGGGCTTGCCCGCTTGCTGCAAGCCTCTGTCTTTTGTCCCCCTCGGTGTTACTTCACTGGGAGCGGGAGAGACGCTGCGAGAGAAGATTGTTTAGGGCTGGAAACGGTGCTTCGCTCAGCCAGAGCCAGAACAGGGAAGGAAAGGGATCGATTCGCTGCTGGAAACAATTCAGTGGCTTGAAAGAGCTGACAAATGTCTCCAATCAGCGTCCAAAGCAGGACACCGGCTACTTTTGCTCCAGTCCCACTCTTCAATGATTGACTGAGACTGTGCTCAGTTGGGGTTAAATTCCTCACCCCACCCCGCGCCAAGAGGAAATTCCTTACTTGCTTTGCAGTTACGGGGGAAAAACAGCCCCCCACTTGAAGCACCTTCTCATGCTGTTTTATTAAAAGCCATTAACTCCAAGCCATCAGGGCCGAACTATGCTCCCTTTTAAGCTAACTGAATTAAGCTTGTTTGGCAGTGGATCTTCGATCAGCAATAAGAGATAAAGAGGTTTAATAACTAGCTAATGGATCAGAAGCGAATGACAGCCGGGGAGCGTCAGATATGGTTGATTATTTGGGCTCAGCCACAACCCTGCCCCCTGTGGGAGAGACTTGGGACTCTTATTGCTTAATTTTACTGTACAATAGGGTTAATCCTATCTTTATGGTTAATTCAGATCAATAAACAGACATGCAAATAGGCCCTCTAGAAACACTTACCAGAGATGGATGGATGAATCTTGTCCTTGCCTGAACAAAACTTTGAAGACTAAGGGATTGTCTTACCTATTTCTGTACCTATGCAAGTGTAGACAAGCCCTAAAACATGGGCCTAAATCATGGAATAAAGTCACTAAAAAGGGTGAGGTCTCCATCAGGGAGTAATGTTGAAATGATGGCATTGGGGGCGGAGGGGTAAGACAATTAAAAACACGGGAGGTGTTAGTCTTTATTCTCTTCCTTTTGCCTCCCCAGAGGAAAAAAGTATGAATTCTCCCTATATGCTGCCCATATGGGAGGAAGAGAAGGCTGGCGAGGATGATAATCCAGTCCTGGTTTTGAGGTTCCCTTTTCACAGGTGGAAGCTGTTTGTCAATGAATTGTAAATGCCCTTGAACTCAGTGGAAAAACCTCCATCTATTTTCATCTATTTATGTGAAGGGAAAGAGAAATATTTCCAGTCTTCCTGCCATGAAATGAAATAAAAATCAGCAATAGAACCTCAAGTCTGAGGGGGAAATGTGATCTGGGTATAAATCTCTTGGCATGCCTTAGAACAGTGTTTGCTCTGGTCATGTGAAAATCCATTTCCTTTCAGTTTCACATACCTGTATTTGTAGGACACCAGAGACAAACAACTTCTACTATTTTCCTCAAAGCGCAAGACACACACAGCCCTCCCGGTGCAATGCACAAATACCCTTTTGGATCCCTGACATTTGCTATAATTTCACACCTAAGCCAAAAGCAAATGGCTACATCACTAAGGCCAGAGCTAAACATTTGAAATGTACATAGCCCCCAGGCCTTGCTCACACATCACATATTTTCCCAAGGTAGACATGTCATTGTACACAACATTAACACTGCAGAGGCAAGTAGACATACAACTCTAACAGGGTGTTAATAAAAGGCCAGGTGAAGAACAAAGAGATGTGCCAGTGCCCCTTAAAAGATGTTATACTTAGATCATGGACTATGTCTGCCTATATTCATACACTAAAAGATTCCAAAAGCCCAAACTAATGAATTTAGTTGCAGTAACCCCCACAGACTCTACTGGCAACCTGCATGGCCCACTGTCAAGAAGCCTGAAAAATCTAAAGTTTAAAATATCAAACAACATTTTAAGATGATCAGTGGTGCAATATAATTAAGGTACTGGCAGTGAATCTAACTTTGTACTGCATTGGCATGATGCACAAGTGCCTAATCATCTCTAACTCATGGATCAGGAGGACACATTACCGCAGGGGGGAGGAATATATAATAGTGAGAGAGGAACAAGGATATTGATAACAAGTTCAGAGTTGCCGAATATCTCAAGATGTGGCATGCAGCCAGAAGGAAGTTGCTAGAGCATCCCAATGAAGCTAACACACTGAGCATCAAATTCTCTCTCTCTCTCTCCTCTCACACCAGTTGGCCTTCAGTGGAGCTGTTCCTGGTTTACACTGGTATGAAGGCCAAATCAAATATACAGGAGTCCATTCTTCACCTCTGCATATTATGGGTCTGACTCTGGTCTCTCAAAGGCATGATTCAGAAGTAACCCCATTAAAGCCAATGGAATTACAGTTGTGCAAGATTGGTGTGAAAGGAGAACCAGGCCAATTCAGCCACTTTGGGGCTTTGCCGGCATTTCGGAAGAGCTCATAGTAAGTAGTTCCCTATATAATGTAAACATAATACAAATGCTCAAACCTGAACTGTGCCTTTTGCATCAGCTGCGTAAGGGATCTTTGGGTAGGGCAAAGGCAGCATAGCTGGCTCAATGCCACCTTTTCCTGACACCATAGTGTAGGAGTGCTCCAGGGCTGTGTGGTAGAGCGGGAAGTTATGTGGCTGGAATGGGATTTGCTCTGGCAATCCTAAAACCCATTGTAATCAGCATAGGTTAGAGAAGCCTTGAGGCTGCTCTAGTTTATGCCAGTGGCCAAACTGACTCCTAGCTACTTCTAGACTTGGGAGTGCAACAGAGGAGTAGCTCCTTCAGTTCAGCATACAGTTACAGCAAACCACTCAAGTGATGATACCCCACAATTAAACTTTTCTCCTCTCCAAATATAAGGGTATTAAGTGTTATTCTCAGCTGAGTTGAGTTGGAAAATAGACAGTTGGATCCTCTGAATTGATCTGGAAAATAGACAGGATGGTCCTTGCCTGCCTCACAGAGGTGATGTGAGGTTTAGGTAGGGCTTGTCTCACAAACTTGCACCAGTTTAGTTAAATTGTTGCAAACCCCTGAGTGGACATTCTGTAAAATGGTTAAGAAATGGCTTATATTAAGTTAGCTTATGTCAGTAATGAACCGACTTAAAGTTTGTGGGTAAAATCCTGGCTATTTTGAAATCAATGACAAAATTCCCATGGACTTCAATGGGGCCAGGATTTCACCCTGCATGTAGACATTGTCTACTAGACAAGCCCTTATTCTATATGGTTCTTATACCACGCTTATCACCATAGTGTCTGAGTGCCTTCCAGTGCATTAAACAACTTTACTACACATCTGTCATGTTTTGTTTTTTCTCTCATCCACTGCCCAGGGGGAAGAAGAGTGTGCAGTGGAGTGTCTTCTTTTAGGGCTTTAGGTGTTTTTTTTAATGTACATGTTGCTCTGTATTTGTGTTTGAGAAGGCAACGTAAAGGAAATGCACCTTACACTTGGGGCAGAAGGTAGTGAGGTTTGGGGTGGTCCTTACTTCTTGGGGGAGTTCATTGCACAGATTTGACTGGTCCCCCAGAAAGTTCTATCTCTGACACAGATGAGCTTTCTCTTAGTGTAGCAAGCTCTATTGTGCCACAAGCGCAGAGTTGTCAACCACAGTCTTCATCCCAGGGCTTTAGGTGGTCTTTTAGATACCCAGATCATGAAGCGCTTTGAAGATAAGGACCAAGATCCCAATCTTGGTTCGAAATTCTATGGGAAGCCAGTGCAGAGAGCGGAGGACAGGCATGGTATGTTCACAGTAGCCTATGTTGCTGACAAGACACACTACAGCATTCTGTACTAGTTGGAGTTTTCTAGGTGCTGACGGCTTCATGGCCAGGTCTGTCACATTGCTGTAGTCCAGCTGAGAGGTGACAAAGGTGTGAATAGCTGAGGCCAGGTCATCATCCGCCAGGATGGGATGGAGTTTCCTAGCCAGCCAGAGGTGATAGAGAGTATTACATGCAGATGCTATGTGAAAGTTTAGCATCAGTGAAGAATCTAGGAGAACTTTCAAGCTGCAGACTGAATTGACTAACTGTGGGTGTGTACCTTCCATCAAAGGAGACAGCACCATGGCTGCAAGCTCTTCCAAGTGCTTTCCTTTGCT